AATTCTATAGTCATTGAAATAGAAGTCAAAGTGATTTAATTGGCTATAAAATCCTTTGCCATGCCACGCCGTGTGCATTATTAGTTTCTTTAGTCAAATTTTAAAATAAAATCCCATTTATTTACTATTTCTTGAACATGCAGGTAGAAATGCTGATAGTGCGCCAGACCTCGTTTCTATAGTTATTAGACCATTATAATTAGGGCGGATAGTTTGGATCAATTTTAATTAAAAAAAAACCATCACGGTTTCACTTCGAAGCAATAGGCAAAAGTTCCTCTTGACATACTGTAATACGCACATTACATCATACATATATCCATCTTTCATGTCGCGGAGAACCTAACGGGTAACCGGGGCTTCGGCTCGACGTGCAGGAAAAGAAACGGGGTGGTTTTTAGTCAGTAAGAGTCTAACACTCCCTCTCGCCTCACCCAGGCGGGAGCAGTAACTCGATGACTTTCCCCCCTTAAAATAAATCCATCTTTCACCAGCAATCTCTGTTTGAGTGTAGTATAAACATACACGATGTATGTTCACATGTACTGTCTGACTGACTATTTGACAACCAATCGAGTAACAAAATATCTCAATAGTGCAAATATAGAAATGTTGCGGTCTACCATCTTTCTTTGAACTAATAATTAACTTAGCTGGAAACACTAGCCAACTGATCATTTCGGTTTTTCGTGAAAATAGTAATTTATGCTATCCAGGTGAACGCTGAAGACGCTACGTGGCAAATGAAATATGTATAATATCAATATAATTATGAAAATATAATTATATCAATCGTTAGTGCTAATACTAACTAACCTAACCCAACTAAGAACTCTGAATCGTTCAAATGAACTTTGTGAAGTTGAACTGGTCCTCTTGCTACGTTTATTGTTCTCCACTCCCTTTTTAATCTCTTTGTCCTTATCCCAAGTTACGTGAATGAACAAAACGTGCCCAGCGAGTCACGTTGTCAAGAAGCATTTTCCTCTATCATACGTTACGCTACTGCAAACTTCGTTTATTTTGATAAAAGTCTATGCATAACCCTATAATGTTTTCTTTGTTTTTGCTCGCTTTGATATCATTATTTCAATTTTTCTGTTTAATGAGAACTATCGAAACTTCACCGAATCTTATTCCAAAATCGAAGAAGATAATTTTATTTGTGTCGGCCGTAAATAATCGTCGAACCTGCCCGTCACCGTTCACAACTCATAGCCATCAGCAATCATATAGTAAGTAAGGCACATTATATATCTAAAAACGTGATACACCCTGTTCAATCCATGGGGAAATATCCAGCGTGAAATAGAGTTACATAACATTATTAAAGTTTCAAATCCAAATAGAGAATAACATTGTTGCAGATTTACAGCTAAAAATAATGTTATTATTAGCACAACGTAATTGTGTTGGAAATGTAATCGAACTTTTGATTGAGTAGAGAGACAGCAACAAAAGAGAAACAACGAACAGAACTAAAAAATGCAGAATCAAGATATCAACGGTAAGTATACGCATCTAGTATTATGTGGTTGTGGCCCGGAGGTTTAAGACGCCCGCTTCTCATGTACCAATGTGACTTTTCCGAGTTACATGTACTTTCTAAGATTACTTAGACGTCCGTCAAATGGTGAAGGAAAACATCGTTATGAAACCTGATGGGCTTATAATCTCTAATTATAAGTTTGAAATCGCTAACCTGCATTGAGCAAGCGTGGTGATTAATGCTCAAACCTTCTCCGTGTGAGAAGAAGCTTTGCTCAGCAGTCAGCATTTAGGTATAGGACGTTGATATTGATTCTGTGATTGAAAATAAATAATGCATAGTAGGTATAAAGATTTCGCTAGGCAGTTAAGTATCATAATGTTACTTATGTTAATATATTTCAATCTTAAATGTATAAAGTGACACTTTTATTCGCTATTCCAACCAAACATTTAGCTTAGTTTTATACAAGGATACCTATAAAAATTATGACTGAATATCTTGAATACTCCATTCAATAAATAGCAATAGTTAAGCCAAAGCAAAGAACAAAATAAGTATATTTTAATTGATTTAATAATTTATGTACACACAAACAGCACAGAGGATATACGTGTATATAAAAAACGAGTACATAATTGCTACTTATTTTCTTCCAGTAGACCTGAGACAGGAAATGTAATTAAAACATAAGACACAGTGTTTAAAAGAAGAGAAAAAATCCGATGAGAAACATGTATAAAAAACTAAAAGTTGTTACTACCAGGTTAACATATAAGCGAGAAACGGACGATTTAAAAAAAATTGCGATCACTTTGATAAAAGGAAACATATTAAACTGTCAAATACCAAGCGGTCACCGGTGACCGCAACCTATTGTTCTATAATTGTGTCTGCAAAACCGCTACTCGACGAGTTAAGTAGTTAGCGTTATCGGTGGGTGTCTAATAGTAGTAGCTTCATATAAACAAACAGTGGCTACCTGACACCGGTCTCGCGAGTATTCTATCAAATTATCGATAATATTTGTTATTGATAGGCTCTGCTTGTACTACACGATGTTTCTGTACGAACACAAACAGTGGAAAGTTACTTATTACCTCGAGTGGCCATTTAATCCCCGGATTATGATTTTAATGGAATATTTTCGAGACACAACGAGTAGGTCTCCGTCCTATTGTTTGTTAACAACACCCGTTCAGCCTTGAAAGAGATTATTCTATTTATCAACGTATGCATCTAGAAAATACGAGTATCTAGGACACGTTACTTTGTTATTGTTAGTTAGAATATGTTTATCTTTCGTACAATGTTACTGAATGTACTAATTATGTCTATTTTAGAATCGTAGTTACATGTCTCTTTGGTTATAACTTTCCGTAGATTGTTATCTGATTAGTCTATCGTAAGAAAGTAGGTACTTGGTAATCTCTAGTGTGTTGGAAAGTCACTTGAAGTAAGCCAAGTTTTCCACTTACCTATCTGGATTAATAAATAGCTTTTATGATGTTCAAGATTCTAGATCTCCTTTTGATATTTTGCTTTTTGGATTCCCACAGATATCACTACCTAATACTATGCACCAAAACAATTCACAATATCTCGAAATAGAAATCTTTAGAATTTCTAATAGGTAGAACTACACAGTTTTAAAAGGCCTCAATAAAGGTATTACCGTGAGTTTTACTTGAAGTAACATAACACAATCACGCCTTTTATCCCAGAAAGGAGAGGCAGAAATGCACCTTGCCACTGTACAATTTAACACCCACTTTTCACTATTTATGTTATGAGTCCCATGTAATTCCAGACTCCGTGCTACTACTGAGAATTTTATTTTAATAAACTCAGTAATACTTTGCGCGGCCAGGGAATCAAACCTGAGACCTTTTCCCCGGTAGTCGCACTTGCAACCACTCGGCCAACGAGGCAGTCTTCTTGCTTGATAATATTCATATTCAACTCATACTCAAAAGGACCTGACACATGACGCGGCGAACACCGCACATCCAAGTCAATATATAATAAGGATGATGACAGGGTATGAAAATTAAAAATCCGTCCGTTAGGTAATTAAAAAATATTAGACACGTATTTTTTTATTTTGTTGTATAATAAAATGAATACTTAGATAAAGCGAATCAAAGTTTAGGAGTGGGGGCTAAAACGTCATTTCTACGTATAAAATGTACATAGAAGTGACGTCACGCGACATTTCAAATCAATATATCGTCGAAAGTATTTTTTCTGTGAGAAATTAAAAAAATACGTGTCTAATGATTCAAAATAATCTACCAGACGGACATTACCGGTCATCTACCCTATTCAACTAAATATGTATGAGCCCCTAGTGTGACTTGAAACTAGTTGAGTGAGTTACCTCATGAAATAGTTACCTGAGTACCTAACCTGTCAAGTCTTACTTATATTGATAATAGTACGGAACCCTCCATTTGCGAACCCCTCTCATTCATTACCGATTATATTTCCATAGAGAAATAGTCATATTTACAAAGCATTAGTAGCAGATACATGAAGCTACTCCAAAGTGTCCAGTACATTTATTTTCAATTTTTATTGCGTATGATTCTCAACCTTATAACCGTGTTTTTATAGTTGAGAATTTGTTGATAAACATTGGTACGTTTGTCAGTTCAGACCTTTCTAGAAGCGAGTTCAATTTTAATCTATGAAACACTGCACTATTAGCAAATAAAATCAGGTGTGAACTGGTTTCATAAACAAATATTTTATTTGAAACTCTTGGAACTTATACGATTCATTAACTCGTCGAGTACCGGTTTTGTAGACACAATTATAGAACAATAGGTTGCGGTCACCGGTGACCGCTTGGTGTTTGACAGTTTAATGAAGAAGTATGGTCACAGATACACCCTATATGACATGTAACTATTTAATGCTGATGTAACATCTACAATGACTACATATCTTTTAGAGGTTTATATATATAGTACGTATATACACGTGTATGTATCTATGTCTATCACATCTGTCTGTTGAATTCCACACAACATCTGTTATGTCCTTATTATGTATCAACACGGAATTCCTATTATTAGATAAATAACAATAAATGTTTACTTCATAAATTAATAACTATTGATGTGTGAAACAGCACGTTGTATACCTGTGGATACCCTTCGATTGGACCTTGTTGGTTACATTGTAACATTACAACGAACATACTACGTAGTGCCGCTGCCGTCTCCTCAAATATTGACATTGTACTTCTATTTGCAGCACTATCTATGTACATATAAAAAGTTATCTAATAATCATTTCCACATGTGAGTAAAGAAATTTAAAATAATCTCCCTGAAGATTAGCTACAGTCATCAAAAGAACCTATTTTATTGACATTACCTTCGATAACAGTGATACGAATGTGTACACGGTACAATATCACTAATAATAATAGTTATTGATAAATCATTTTATTTTCATCAAGGGCCGTAAGAAACCACAGTGAGCAGTAACTTCCCGACTACTGGTGCAACTGCACGTCTATGTTTATTCATAACAATATACTTTAAATTATTCCAAATCTAAGTTAGCCTAACTAAACGTTTCTATCACATCGGCCTTAAATCCTCCAACTACCGCCTGCTGACTTCCAAGTTTTTTTTATAATACCCTTCAGTTGATTGATTATATAAATGGCAAACATGTTAATAAGGACTAGACGGTATAAGTGCTACAGGATTGCTACTGTAATCAGAGTGCTATTAGTTTTGGGGATACCTTTAGTTTATTTGATATTTAGTAATACTGGTTCAGAGGAAGAAATGTTAAAATCTACGTTTAATTCAGGTAATATATTAAGCAGGGTGTTAGTGAATTCTGTGCTGATAAGTGGTCTATAAAATTCATTTGTGGTATTCAGGTTTTGATGGAGCTGTTTCTCAACGTAGATTGCTGAGCGTAGTTGAGAGGGAGGAGAGGAATTGCACTCCCGCAGCAATTTTGGAGTTTCCCTCCGATGGTCTCAGCCGGTATCAACGGCAACATGTAAGGATGAATCTGTGCATTTTTAATTATGCTTTTATGCAATTATACGTTTTAACAAAGTCAGACAGCGAGCGAATTTTTTCCTTGAATCACACATTCTTGCTGCAAATGTTTTGGCGAAATGTTTAATATTATATTATTTTAAAGATTATGCTTTCACTGCCATATTGATTGTAACTAAGTTGTACAGAAATGAAATACAGTATAATAAAGTAACATTGTAATCTTTAAAAATCCAAGATTAGATGGATTTAGGAAAGATTAATTATTGAATTAAATTGGACGTCGTCTATATTCAAATTCACTATATACATACAGATGATACTAAATGTAAATTAACTTTAATACAAAATGCCGCTTATTGAGTAATTTACTGATTAATGAACTTTGAGATTAACATACTCGTACTATGTTCAAATAAGAATAACTTCCTTAACAATTTTCATTGTAGTATATATTTCGTTTGGAGTTTCCTTTACTTACAAAATCATGAATGAGACAATTAATAATACTTATTTTTAATTAGTTTCTGCCCGCGTATAATACTAACTTTCGGAGGATTTTTTTGTGTCGCTCTAGAACAGACCTTTTTCGAATTTGTACTCTATTGCTGATACCTTATCACCCTATTTTTGTTTGTTATTTAAAACTGACACAATGGTTTCGCTGTTGCATTATACGTATATTATAGTTTAAAATTAATATGTAGTTATATTATACATTGTATATTACAGGGTTACATAGCAATACACTGTATATTAGCTATATACTGCTTCTTTCTGCTGGGGACGGTGTGTGAGCAGTACTTCGTGCCAGCAATCGAGATGATATGCGAACGTGAGTGTACATTTCCATTGTAAATTACAATTAGTTTATGATATATGCATGCTAACAATACTCGTAATGCATACAAGTTTCAATTATAAACGTAGTCTTGAAGTTAAATTGGATATGTTAATAACATACTGTTTTTTTGTCGAAACTTTCAATTTTCGGTGTGGCGGCTATTACGCTTATGACTTGCATTCGATTTATTGACTATGTAATCCTGCTTCGGTCGATATATGATTGTTAATGAAAACTTGTCATAAATTGTATGTATGTACTTACCCTTCAGTTCTGCCAACCTATACGATTTGTCATATAATTAAGTTAACGTAATTCAAATATATCGTGATTAAAAATTAAACGCTATACTACGTAGAAATAGGTCTTGAAAAGGGGAAATCTGAAAGAATCATGTTATTAGTAGTAGGGGAGCCCACGATGCTAAATTGGGATTTACTTGAGCGTCCTTGGGACCTACTGGATTTTGAAGATATGCTGATAGAAAGAAGAAATGGTTTAGTGACAATTTCTTCCACCAGTGGGGGAAGGGGGAATCTACAGATCTTTGAAATTGTTAAGCGTAACTTTTGTTCTAATGGTCGAGCGTGTCAGATATTGATAATGTACATG